CCTGCTGCCGGTGAAGATGTGCATCCGCAGACAATGTCCTAGAATCCAAATGGAATGACAAGACCAGTGTGCTCTTGCCAGCAAAGCAATATATCAGATTCTTCGTTTTTTCCATTAGGTTCCATTAGGTCGTTGACAAACAATAAAAATAAGGTTGGAGACAATATGGATCCCTGAGAAACACCAGCGTTGATGGTGAAAGTATTCGTGTATGGCTGTAGAACCATACACAGAAATGATCCGACAAGCTAAAGCATAGTACTTTGGCCAGCAAATCCTCATGCCACACACGGTCAAATGCCTTAGAAATAACAAGCGCAACAGCTATTAACTCTCCATGTTTATCGATTGCGTTATTCTGCGTTGATGGTGAAAGTATTCGTGTATGGCTGTAGAACCATACACAGAAATGATCCGATAAGCTAAAGCATAGTACTTTGGCCAGCAAATCCTCATGCCACACACGGTCAAATGCCTTAGAAATAACAAGCGCAACAGCTATTAACTCTCCATGTTTATCGATTGCGTTATTCTAAATGTGGGTGACATACAATAGAAGGTCGTCTGTTGATATTTATTTCCGAATGCCATATTAATGATCGCTCAAGATGTTGAAGTCTTCCAAATATTCAAGGATGTGGTGGTTTACGGCTTTCTCCATGATTTATAATATCACTGATAGCAAAGCAACTTGTCTATAGTTAGTTGGAATATTTTTCTTGCTGTTTCTCGGAATAGGCTAAAGGCGAGCAATCTTTCAACAAGAACGAAAAATCCCTTCCTTGTAGGACAGGTTGAAAAGTCTGCAAAATACTGCTTCGCACTTTTTTAAGTACAATGTCGGGTACTTCATCAGAACCAGACGCTTTGTTGATATTGAGCTGTTTCAAAATTTGCCTGACTAGACGTTGTGAACAAGAAATTTTCGGCTGTGTGGATTCTAGGAAAAGTGGGTGGTGCCTTTTTCAGAAAATCGACTGTGGAGTGTGACGCAAATCATTCAGCTAGTGGATTTGACTTTCTATGGCTGTTGTTGCAATTCAACCATCTGCTTGTGTTGGCGGTTTAATTCTGAATTTTGTGAAGTTTTGATCACCAGCTCTAGCATTCTCAGAATTCTCGTAGGGCAAATTGGATTTCCCAAAAAAATTCTCATCTCAGGGAAGAAATAGGACAAACGGAGAACCGCTTGAGAAATTCATTATCACGACTGAGTGGAATCAAGTTACTCTGATTTTGTTCAGAATGTATATTATTCAATCAGTTTCTCGCAAGATAAAATCACGAATACACGAGTGATTTTATCTATTGTTGGTTGCTCGATTAGTATTTTAAAGAAGATTTCTTCAAATATATTTGAGAATATTCCATTCCATTGATTCAAGCAGAATATTTATCCTCAAATACAATGACTTACGAGCAATTACAGAAGAAACATTCATTCGAAAATACAATCGATAGACACATGTTGGAATATATGAACAGAGTACGTAAATGACCAAACTTGTATTTTCCACCAATGAGATTAAATCACCGAGTCACCCGACTTGACGCGGTTAGATGTATCAACGTTGCGTATTCTGTTCGATTAAAATGAAATTGCAACTCCTTAGAATATTGTTTCGATTCTAATCAATGTCTTATTGAACTAATATATTCGACTAAGATATTAAGATTTCCCAATATTGGCATTCAAGGTGGAGTTTGAACTGAAAGATTGCTGTCTAATTTTTCTGAGGTTATGTGAATCACTGAAGTGCGGAAATTCGTTTTTTTTGTTATATATGTTCATTGTATTGGCGATTCACATGCTTCATTGAGGTTCAGCCACTTTCATAATCATAGCAGCAAATTGAACATGCGAATTTCTGTTGAAGAATTCATGCAGAGTTTTAAAACCTAGTTTATTTGGTTCCGTTGGATCATGTATGTATGTATATGGTGGACGGTAGCCTGGTGGGTTGGCGTGGTTGGTTTGCTCCACTCACTCAATCGACCGATATGTGAATCGGTGGTTCAATCCACGTGGCCGGACAATTGATTTTTACTTCACATCGTCTAACTCGTGTTAGAAATCACACGTTGACAGATAGGACCTCCTTAGTATTTAGCTCGCATAAGTTTCGACTTCTGAGAGTTGTCATTCGTAGAAGGGTGACATTTTTAACGGGAAACAGATTTTGACCATATTTCAAACAGATAAATAGGCCCTGAGAGTCACGTTCCATGTTGCAAAACTAATAATACAGATGTTATTTCACCTTTCGTGGTCATTTTTCAAACTTCGCTTTGTGTTTATTTGTAACTATTACTGTAAATATTACTATCGATTCATATTTAAATAGAATTTTGATGAAATGACTCAAAATAGTTTCATTTTTTCAGGGAANTATTACTATCGATTCATATTTAAATAGAATTTTGATGAAATGACTCAAAATAGTTTCATTTTTTCAGGGAAATTCAGTGCTACAAAGTGGAAATTTATTCCGGTTTCTTTATTTTTCGAAAACAAATAATCCGAAGAAACAATTTGTTCAGGCCAGTCTCAACTCCCTGCACTGTAGGTTAATGGACTGACACCTATCAGAAAACAACTACTCCCCTGGCTAAGGGGAGTAGTTGTCCCACGAAGGGCGTTGATTATTATCCGACAGGTGTCAGTGCAGGATTCTTCACTGAAGTTATTCCTGCATATGCTGTTGGCGATACAACTTGTCAGTGCAAGATAGTGAAAAACGATCGAAAACGCACGGAAAACGGTCGCACGAAAAACTGTTGTAAATGAACGAAAAACGATCGAAAACGCACGCGCAATGGTCACACGTGTAACGGTCGCACGAAAAACTGTCGAAAACGCAGAAAAAACGGTCACACGCGTAACGGTCGCACGCAAAATGGTAGCACGGAAAACGAACGAAAAACGGTCGAAAACACACAGAAAACTGTCACACGAAAAACGATAGCACAAAAAACGAACGCAAAACTGTCGAAACTCATGCAAAACAACGTATTTTGAAATGTCATTGTCGAATACCCCCATTGCCCCCACGTTGAGTCCACAACGCGTATCTTCAACATGATAATGACGATTACATTCTACGGAAATAAAAAATGTTGTCAAGTATAATGAATAAGTCAATTTCTTATAAAACTAACGCTGTTAATACGTATCATTCGCAGTTACTTTCAATATCTTATGTTGGTGTAGAGGCTAAGGACAATGTCTACTACGCGGACGTCCTGGGTTCAATTGTTATAACTATTAACTTTTTTAAATTATTTTAACTATTATGTCTAAACTGCCGTGACGGCGTGTCTGTCTGCCTGAACTATTTATGTACACAGAAAATTCGAATCTCCCTCCACAATGATGCACAAGCATGCGCTCTGATTATGCGTGACAGTTTGAGGACGATACGTGACAATTTGGTACACTCTGATTGGTTCACCACTTGGTGACAGGACACCACGTGACAATTTGGTTGACTGGATACCTTGCTGAGAGGCAACCTGGCTGGTGTGATGACGTCACCGTCTGCCCCAACCGACGCTACTCCTACTAGTAGTGATCGTCTATCATCAACCTGAAGTCGATGATTTCCGATAATTGAAAATCGAATTCTTTCAGAGTATCATTCCTCGAACTAGGCTGAAGCACACCACAAACAACTGATTTGTCGTCGCCTCATCTGCCTGTGAACGAGGTAACCACTCGATACTCTGAGAGAATTCGATTTTCAATTATCGGAAATCATGATAGACACTATCTTGCACTGACGAGTGTCCAAATAGCCCGAAACCGGTCTGCAAGTGTGTTCCAATAATTGAAAATCTATTGCGGCATTTGTATCGCCAACAGCATATGAAGGAATAACTTTAGTGAAAAATCCTTCACTGACACCTGTTGGATATAATCCAACGCCCTTCGTGGTATTAGCCAGGGGAGTAGTTGTTTTCTGATAGGTGTCAGTCCATTAACCTACAGTGTAGGGAGTTGAGACTGGCCTGAATAAATTGTTCTTTTAGATGATACAATTGAGTATTTGGGATTTGTCAGATGCTTTGTCTTTTCTGAAATCAACCGAATAATTATTTATAGACTGTATCGAGAAGTAGTTTTTATTTTTTGTAATTTCGGTACTGAATATGTAGCTTCACATTCTATATTTGTTGAACATGGACAATAAAGGTGTTAAGTTCAAAAAGTAATCTTTACAAATATGTGTAGATCATCCATAGAAGTAACTTTCAGATGAATATTTTTTGTAAAAAGTTGGAGAAGTGATAGCTGAAGAGCTTTCTACCTCAATTTGGATTCATTGCAATTAATTTCGCTAAATGAGGTTCACACTACTATACAGAGGTAACGTTTTTCCTCTATTTATTGATCCTGAAGTGATTTTGCAGAAGAATTAAGGTGTTTTTTCGTTTTCACATTTATCTCAAAATGAGTAAATTATTATCTGATATTGATAATAACTTACTCATCTTTCTGTACTGCTTTCCTGAGGAAGGTCAATAAGTTATCTAGACGATATTTCACGGAAGAATCAACAAAGTAACCATTGCTTTTTTGCCACATTGTGGCAAAATCTTCAGAACAACATTCCACAATTAGATAGATACAACTTGACAATTTTCAATTATCTCAATCATCGAACTTTTCATAAGAAAAATAGAAGTGAGCTTTCAATCATTCTTGACAATTATATAAACGTGATCCACATTCTTGGACAAAGTTCTGTATATTTTAACTTTCATGTGGGTCCTGTATACATTAACGTTCTTCCGATACTTTTCAAGAGAAAACCAAAGGAACATATACTGACAGAAATGATTAAAAAAAACATGTAAGGAGACATAATCACCTTCTGTATTAGAGAAATAGTGGGGTGAATGTTCTTTATATTTTTCTACATGTTGCTAAGTTTCCTTTACAACTTGACTATCGTTTCAAGACACCAATTCGCTTCACAAATAGTTCATCTCTTTTTCAGATTTGGCCTTCCCACGATTTGCAGAGCCAATACCGAATGTCACAGTTACCGTTGGAAGAGATGCGTTACTAGCTTGTGTGGTGGACAATTTGAGGGGTTTCAAGGTAGGACTTCTTCTCTGACTTTGCTTGAATTCAAGTTTTTTTTTCTACTAATAATGTCTCTAATGACAAATTTTTGTATTACTCTACTCTAGACAATATTCGAGTTCAAAACTCTTTTCCACTAATAATATAGGTATTTAGTAAAATAACATATTAAAGTCTATATTCGCGGAAAATACATCCAGTTTTTTCCAGTTGTGAGTTTGTATCCCATATCCTCAAAATAAAGAATTGAAGATCACTATTTTAGTATACACTATTCATTTGTGTTCGTATTTGCACTGATGTATTTTCACTACATGGTGTCATTTGTCAATGATTGGAATTTTCCTATAAGATTTTCAAAATCACAGTATGTGAGAGTCATTTAAATATAACTGTTTACCATTTCCTCAAAACATGATGGGAATATTAATAACAATTTGAATTATGTATTATATAACTAAACTTGAAATGAACTATTCTGGAGGTATTTGTTTCATTATATCGTATCATTATTTAAGAGAAAGCGAGGCAAAATTCCACCTAAATCCGTATTTTGTGAAAGAATAAATAACAAACAAAATATATCTTTTTTATTGTACTGAAAATGAAAACAATCAAAAGTTCAATCTTTCCACATCTTGAACATAGAAACAGATCATCATCCAGCAAATGGTAGGAGGGGCTCCAATTTGTTGACCATTCTCAACGCAGCTCATCATGAAGAAATAGTTGGATGCTCTTCGAATCTGTATAGGCATTTGGAAACTCAGTGCGGTTCTCATTTTTTCATGATATTTCTGGTAGTTTGTTCGTTTTTTCCAAAATCCACCAAAACATAACTTTGCGATGTGATAATCCGACTGACGAACGGAGTAGAAAAAGTATAGACCTTCAATGGTCACCTATCCCATTCATTTTCAGATTTTTTTCGACACTCCCTGTATCATGATCAAAAGCAGTATCCTGTTGTCACCAAGTTTTCTCATTCTCAGTCTGCGGTATCCCATTCAGTTTTTTAGACTACCGTATTGAATATTTCTTACTAATATCCCGTATCTGCATAACAATAAAGACGTAACAGTCGAGTAGAGAAAAAGAAGTCCATTACATCTCGAAGTGTAGTGTAGTGGAGTGCAGTAAAGTCAATTAATGAGACGACTTTAAGTTTTTCTGCATCGTATACTATTTTTGGTATTTGGCATCATTATTTCCTTTTGTAATCCACAAAACATGTAAAAGCTTCATGACTCCCAGAACCATATTTCAAAAGTCCTGTCATGACTATTACTTCGATTGTACATTCCGTTCTTGGAGAAATTTTGCCCCGTCTAACCATATAAAATCATTGAAGCAGTTATTCAGTTCTTGCGATTTGCAGCTGCAGCTAGTATCAGCTGCTCTTCTCGATATTTTTTCAGAATCCTTTGTTTCATTGAAAATGATAATTGGAAAAGAACAGTCACATCACGAATATTAGCTTTGGATATCCTGTGAGGAAATTCAATATATTCCAGTTTGTTAACCACTGGTTTACTGGGATATTTTCAGCAGATATTTGATACTTCCATACTAAATCGCGATTATATTCTTCATTGAGAGTCTGAACAGTCTATATTTTACTATGACTTCTGATAACAAACTCCATTCAAGATGACTCCTATTTAAGATTCGATTTTTCCAGATTCATTGTTCAAAATGGTAAGTATACTCCATGAAAAGGGAGTGAAACCTGAAACACAGACACAGTTTTGTTGAATTTTTTTGTCTTGGAGGTATTTATTCCTCATCTGAAGTATTTGAAATTTTTGCTCGAATCCTATCACAACCTACAGGAGTTTTACGATGATGCTCACTTTTTTGTATTAACGAATTAACGAAAAAATCACTAATGTATGAGAGCAAAGATACAGGGTGTTAAAATAAAAATAAAAAAAAAGTTATTCGTAAATATCTCAAACATTCTCTACCTGATTTTGTTGTAATTTGGCGATGGTATTTATTACATTGAGAAGCTAATTTAGCCCGAACGTGATTCAATTTATTAAGTTCAGTGGCGTCTCGAGCGGGATTTGAACGAATATTTTTGACATAAAAATATACGAATATTACTGGAGTTTTTTTCCAACACCAAATCGTTATTTTCACACCTCGACACGTGTTTCGATCACCAAGTGATCATCTTCAAGAGGAAGATGAAATTGAGTTTTTGTTGTTTCAAACCTAGAGCTGGAATTGAATGATATCAATATCACCCCAAATTTTTTTCACATCATCATGTTGTACTATATTTTTTTCGATAACTAGTTGAGGATTGAAGATCTCACTAGCAACTGAAAATTAAAGTGAACATCGGAACTTCATACAATTTTATCATTGCCATTACTTTTTTCTCAAGATTTTCTCGAATTGAAGTGTATGCCTGCAAATCTCATTGTTAATATTTGGACATCAAAGATTTCAGCACAGCGTGTTTATCTTCGAGGGTTGGCTCAAAATCTTTCCACATCCTCGTCGCCTGGAGCTGTTTGAATTATTAAAACAATAATTTGTTGCAGCGTAGTGAGCTGGATGCTTTATATCCTGAATAATGTAGACAAGAAGATAATGGAAGTGTTTCACTTGAAGGCAAACAAATTCTCTGCCTCTTTGAGCGCAGTTGACGTTGAGCAAAAAAACAAGTTTAACTCATGAAAGCAGAATTAACTTTGAATTATAATGAGAGCGATTAATACCCTTGACGAGGTTAAACTACTCAGTGAGATGTTCAGAACAACTTCCGTGACATCAATCAAGATTTGGAACTGACCGAGTTCCCTCCCACCAGTTCACCAAAAATGTTTGTTTCGGAGAAAGCTCTACCTGTGAGTTAATATTCATGGAGAATCTATTCATAGTCTCTCATTTAACGAGATAGAAGTGAAAATTTCGAAATGTTTGTCAACGCGAGGAGAGTGTCGTCAATCATTCGAGCGAGAATTAACATTTCTCACGAGTAGAATACTATACTTTTTCTATGACTTGTATAGGGGATGTTTCAAATAGGGATATACTGAATGAGAGTGATATAGTGAAAATCAAGAGGCAACCTAAAATTTTTTTTACCAATCCATGCATTTTATAGAAGTTCAATTATTTTGGAATTTAAATGGTAGAAAAAGAAATGCATCAGTGTTATTCGAATTCAGCAACTCTGTATACAAGTTTCATGTTTTACCAACCACTCCACAATTGTGTATGTGAGTTTGCTGTGGTGAACTTTAATAAAATATCAATTTCTCCCCTACATTATGAGTTTCTAGTGTTTACCGGTTTCATTTCCCCCTAGTCCATGTTTTCATTCTTATTTCTCTTCAGAAACTATATACAGGGTGTAAAATTGAAAACTTCCCACCCTTAATATCCTCCTCCTATTGAATAATATCGAAAAAACATGTCAATTTTATAGGCAAGGGGGACACTATCAAGAAATATTTGTAGCCCTTATGATTCATCCCCTAAGGAGGGGTACATGTTACCCTTAGAATCTCATCTGGGAAGGGTTTTCAAATTTCACCTGGCGTTCAATGATACCCTGAAGTTTCATTTTTTGATGAGTAGTTTCCGAAATAAATGTATTACGCTCGGGAGTTTTAATTTGTTGGTTAGTCCTTTTACAAAATAAAATTGTATTCGCGAGAAAGACATTCCAAACATCTTTTATGTATGTCTTTATTTTTGCTCTAAACAGTAATTAGGTCTGTTTTCGAATTCCCCTATGATATTATGGAAAACTTCACTAGGAATTGACTGACATTCGTCTTAATATAAGAAGGTTGTGTTTAATGAACAAAGGATTCAAGATGGACCCGAAAAAATCAAAGGGTGTTGAATCCGGTGATCTCGGAGGCCATTCAACTGCTCCCCTTCTGCCAATCCATCTATCCAGAAATCTCTCGTTTAAAGACTGTCGGACGGAAAGAAAATAATGAAGTGGGGAGCACAGTGCTGCTGAAAATGTAACATATCTTCCTGCAAAATTTCATCATCTTCTGCATCCATTTGAGTTTCCAGTCGTGAGCTGGATACGGGAATGACAGAATCACTTGTGGTTCTGTTATTACCTAACTGAATGGCATCCCAATGAGAGCTTAATCCTCAGGTGTGTGTATCCATGCCGAAAGGATAAATGACACTGAGCCTACGACTCCACCTGAATTTGAATTAGGAACGAGTCTACAGAGGAGATAGATGTCGAGCTTACGACTCCAACTGACCTCCTTGTGAATTTGGAGCAGGAGAGAGAGCTTCCCAACTCTCCAACTCTTGATCCAACGACTGAACCAAAAAAAAGTTTGGTGGTGCAGCTAGGAAACGACTGAGTCGTCTCCTCACGAGCAGGATACCTTATACAACCGCCTTGCACCAAATTCTTAAGCGACGTACGCAGAATCTGTCTCAGATGGAGGAACAAACCCACCATTGAGCAGGTAAGCGAACGTTTGCGTTCAAGTGATGATTTACCAAAACCAAAGGCGAAAACGCCCTGCACAGTTGAATCCAAGGCATCATCAGGTGTAGCTGTCGGGCAGAAACCCTCATATGGAAAAGTTATCGCGGGTATCAAGTTGTGAATATTGCACCTTTACTATCCGACTACCTCATTAACGATGAAACAGTAGAGCATACTTTGTGCCTGCTCCGCCGGGAACCGAATCAGGTATTTAGAGGTCGGATGAGCCATACTCTTACCATCTGACCTGAAAGACCTCTCACCATACAAACTAATCGGCTTCATTGAACAGCTGGGTTTATTTGGTCGAGTGTGAATAAGTGTGAGCCACAATAAAACCTTGCGGGTTGCGGTGGAGGATCGAATAGACCCACTCACATTGGACCTAACCTGCCTGAAAACACTTTCTGTACACTGTCTGCAATGAGAATTACAAATTGAGCAATTACCAAACACAACTACTATTCACGTTTTACTATTAGACTACTTTTTACGTAAATTAATTGGAGCTGATGTAACCCCTAAT